GCTCTCGCCCGCCGCCCCGGGGCTTCATGTGCCGGTTGTTATATCTTCCCTCCTTTTCTTTCCTCAGATCGAAGCGGATTTCCGATTGAATGGTGAGTGTGCCCCCCGCCCCGCCCCGAGTGTCCCCTCACGCCGCCGGCCGCCTCCCCCGCGCCGGGCCGGAGCCGGGCAGAGGACAGACATGGCGTCCCAGAGACTAAGTCCCGGCTCCTCGCTCACCGGCCCCATTGTTCCCATCGGGCCGCCTCTAGACCCCCTTTCCCGGGGTCCCAGCACCCCCAGATCTCGGCCTTCCCCAGAGGGGGCAACGGAGACCCCGCGTCGCTCGTCGCTGGGTCTCGGGCGGCCTTCCTCCGCCGGGATTCTTCCCGGGAAAGTCGCCTTGTCGACGGTCGGGACTTAGTCTCTGCGCCATTTTCTTTTTCATCTCTCCTCTCCTTTCTGTGCCTGTGTCTTTCTCTCCCTCCCTCGGCTCCTTGAGCCGTCCAGAAAGAGCTTTCGGCAGAGCGGAGCCGTATAAATCACAGACCTCACCCGAGAGGGAAGGCTTGGAGACTAAATTACCCTTTTTTCCTAAATAGAACTTTATTTTGGAAGTTATTCGCTTTCTGCTTGACGTCTGCTTGCTTTTTTTCTGCTTCCAGAATGAAAGGTTCCCTTAGGCAGCTGTTGGGTTTTGTGTTTTTTCGGCTTTTTTTTTTTTTTAATGGTGAGATGTTTATGGTAGCAATTACAAAAAACTAAAGCCACCTTTTGTGGAGTTCTTTGTATTTTGGGATTGTTTTCCCAAGTTGTGTTCTTTGCAAATATTCCTCCCTTTAAAAAGTTTTCAAGTTGTCTCTGTGTCACCTAGTGTGAGTGATGGACTTGAGCATATTGATTTTCCTTAAAAAATTAAAAGTATTAGTGACTAGAACTTTGTGGCTAGGGTTCCCAAGGCAAATTTTTTAAGAGACGCAGTTTAGTGTACTTGTCGTGAGGACGGTTGCTGAGTTGTTCGTCTGGACCTGGTGTGCTGGCCTTTTCTTTGGGGGCTATAGGGAGTTTAAAAAAGATTTTATTTATTGAAACAAAGAGTGGCCATCCCTCACTCCTGTCTTTCTGTTCATTCTTTTCCAGACCTGCTGTATTTCAGGAATTAAAAGCTAACTAGCTTTCTCCACATCCTCATGTTTTGAGCCCTTTCCAGTCATTTGTTTTTAAAATATTTCCACTAAAGCTACCCAGGGAAGAATGTGTTGGTGGGTGTCTCCCTCCCACCACCCCAGTAAGAAGCTCACAGTTATGGGCTTTCCAGCAATCTCATTGTAGTACACTGGAAATTCCCACTGATTGGGTTGCTACATAATCATGTTTGAGTTTGGGGTCTGGGAAACTTTAGTGAGAGAAGCTGTTGAGTAGGTTTTCTGGTGCAGCAGTCCATACCTTAAATTAATATTTCTAAAAAGAGATGGCACCAAGTCAGGAGAGAATCTAAGTCAAGCATAGCTTTTCTTGAGTTCTTTATATATGTCGTGCTTAGTGCTAGAATTGAACCTGTGACCATATCTCTGTCTTGCTCTCAACTCAGCCTATTGGGGGAGTCATAATTAGTTAATTACAAGGTAGGTGTTAGAGCATATGTGTACCCAAAATGCTTTGGGAGCATAAAGGACTTAATTTTATCTGGGGGTGGGGAAATTTCTCAGAAGTGACTGGGCAGGGTGTTGTACAAGACTAGGAGCTAAGAATTGTCAGGGGTTGGGTTGTTTCTTGGGTGTATCGTTCATCCTATCAGGCTTTTAAAAGAGGGAGATGAGACCTCTTGAATTTAGAAAACCATCTAGTATATGGATATGCTTCTTTGGAAGGGGGCAAAGAATGTGGTAGGTGTGGATGTAAGAAGTGGTTTTAAGCTCTCTGAAGGAAGGTAAGAATTTAATAATAAAGTATTTGCTTTTTAATTTGATCTGGTAAGTGATGTATTTAGTGATGAAACAAACTTGAGCCTTTTTTCTCTTGTTTGACTTCCATAATTCTCTTCTAAATAATATAAAGGAGTTATTTAATATACCCAGTCCATAATCATGCACATGTTATGTTTGCATTTTTATAGAGAATGACTTAAACTGCCTCTGTTAACTTTTAGGATATATTCACATTTTCCAACGATATCTTTTTGAGCACTTAACTGCGGGAAGCCGCACCTCAACTCTTTCTTTGGCTCGTCTAATTTATTCTTCGGAAGGGCCCTTAGGAATTAGGTACTGTTATCTCCATACAGTAGGGATGATACTGGTATGAAGAAATGAAGTTTCCTGTTTTGATAGAGTAGATCAAGGGGGGAGGGTGGTAATCAATGGCACACCATTTACTTCTTACCAAAATCTTGAAAAGCACTTTTGTGTACCTACCACCTTAAAGTTCTGATGCTGTAGTGATTAGCTTTGTGGGTATTGTCTACATGTAGTTTCAGTAACTGTTTGCTCTATCAAGTAATACACTGTTGACTAGTGATTGAGCAAGTAAATATGAAAGACAATTTTAAAAATAAAAACCAGCTTTTATACCCTGGCTTCTTAATTGATCTTTATAGTGAGGATATTTACTTAAATATGATTTTAAGTGATCCTGATCCATCTTAAGATTAGCTGCAAGTTCACAAAGTAAAACCACATATCCCTTATTTTGCTTGCCTGAATCCTGTAAGATGTAAAAGATTTTTCCCCTGCTATGGAGCTCATTCTTTACAGTACTTAAAAATTACAGCCTTTTGTGTGAAATTTAGAACATTCTGGGCCATATTCAACTGCTGTGAAAATGTTATTTGTGTAGTATATTTGTATTTAAGTTATTAACGAGCTAGGAGTATCAGGAACACAGCCCATACTTCAAACTTCCCTTTCACCAGAATGAAAAGGATTCCCTTTGTCAGTGGCACTAACCATTAGTGAGGCTGAGTCATTATTACAGTACTGCACAGGATGCCTAGCTGTACCGATGATAACATTAGCTTAAGGTGCTGGTAATCATTTTCTGTTTCAATGGCTGGAAGTTAACTGCTTATCTTACTGGAGTTATGGAGCTTGCTCTTCTCCCTGCATCAAAGTAGAATACTGGACTCCATCATATGATCTGACAGCATGTGTTGATTCTGGGTAGGCTTAATGGGTTTAATTTGGACGAGGAGAATTGTTTTTGATCCTAATAGTTGTGCTTTTGTGCTTGCTGTCTGTTGGGTATGAGTTGAGGTAGGTAATGAGAAAGCTCATGATGTGGCTCTGAAACAGTCATGTTTTAAAGCTGAAAACTGGTTTTCTATTCCGAATGAAATCTGGAAACCTTCAGATTCAGTCTGGACACATTTAATTATTAGATTCCAGTGGAGTATTTCCTTTTTTTTTTTTTTAACACACTGAAGCCGTACTCCTTGATAGACCTTTTTTGAAATTAGTAAGCTGCTGTTATCTTGGAGCATGTCAGGTCTCACACATTTCAGCCTGGGTATTTCTGGTAAAACAAGAAAATTCTGTAGTTACTAAAGAAATCAGAAAAACCGTATGGTTTAGAAGACACAAACTGGGAAATATTTCTAACCCTCTAACTTCTACTTTTCTTTGGTAAGCAGATAGTATAAAATGGAAAATAACCCAATGTTCTCCAAATTTTACAGGGGTGAGAAAGTCAAGTCTCCTGCCAGCATAAAAATCATGGATTTTGAAAGTTTGAGAGATACTGATTTATTCTGGGTATAGTGAAGTAATAGCTATTTGTGTGAGTGGCAGGGATTTTTATAATTTACCTGTTTTAAGGTTTATATGCCAAAATAGGCTGTAAGATTTTTTGTTTTTGTTGTGTGTGGCATGAAAAAGTTTTTTAAAAGTCTGCTATTTCAATCTTTAAATATATTAGAAAAGCTGTATATTAATTACAGCAACAGTTGTCTTCTGTTGATTGTGGTATGGGAAATGATTTTGTTGTTCTTTCTGAATGTGTGTCATTTTAGGAGACCACATTATTCTGAAATCTTATTGTTACAGGTTGGGCATGAGTGCATAATGTATATTACAGTTTTCAATAACTATTGTCATTTATTAGATGCAAAGTAAAACTGACTTTCTTCAAACTCAATCATTTCCCCAGAAGTGTGTTGTGTGAGGGATTGCATCTTTCTCCTATGAAACTATGTTGGACTCTTAATTTAAAGGTTCTAGGTTCACTTTGAAATTAATTCCAAGTGTAATTACTTTGCATGTAGGTGTAATTTACCTTGACTGCAAATGCTGGCAGTAAGTATTTAGTGTCAAACCCAGAGGTGGTTTCTGTTTTTGTTGTTGTTTTCTAAACAAAACAAAAACAACTTGAAGGAATGGTAAAAACATATTTGGCATTTAAAAGTGGGAGTCCTTGAGTGAAATTCAGTGTTCTGTGGTTTAAATTATCTGATTATACATTGATTACTTTTAATCTACTAACTTTGCAAAATAAAGGCATTTGTGCAAACAATTGAGAAGTCACTTAAAATGTTGAATTTAGGATAAAACTTCGAGACGTAGTCAATGGAGAATTGTGTTTAAGGGAAGATTTCTTAGTAAGGGGAGTGGGGGCAGGGGAGGTCCATCTCTATTTTCATTCTTTGTAAATCTGAAGTTTGAGAAGCACCTTTCTATTTCTGTGGCTTCAGACCAATACCTGAAACAGGGACTCTAAAACTGAAGCTATCAGTTTGGAAGAATTAGCTTTTTTTTTCATACTCCACTCTTTCGCTTGGCTATCTAGGTGCTGGCAGTGTGCAGTGCTGATAGTGTGGGCCTGGGCACTTTCGAAGGGAGTGAAGAAGGGTGGAGGGCAGTACAGTGGCCAAGGCTTGATTAGGAAAGAAAATGTTTAAAGCAGAAACCCATGTGCTGGGTGGTAGTGGCACACATCTTTAGACCCAGCATTCAGGAGGCAGAGACAGGCGATCACTGAATTCAAGGCCAGCCTGGGCTACAGAGTAAGTTCCAGGATAGCCAGAGCTGTTACACAGAGGAACCCTGTCTCCTGGGGAAGGAAAAAATAAGGCAGAAACCCATATATATATATATGTATTATTTTGGTAGTCTTAAAGGAA